TGAGCTTAATCAAAAAAATAAATTCAAGCCTTCTTAATAAAGATTAAATGTAGATTGTCAAATGCTCAACACCACTGAAACTTTATTATTTGTAATATTTTTGCAAATGAAAGCTTAAATTTGTACACACATATAAACTTGGAAATACAAGCCAAACTGGTTGGTAAGGCCCTCAAATATTTTCAAAGAAAGAAAAAAAGACATAAATTTGTCAACACTATTTCAGGTCAGTTAATGAAAAAATATTACTATCATATTTAGTTGCATATGTGTGGCAAGAGAGAAAATTACTCACATAGTTACTGAAAAAACTATTCTCAGCATAAATGGACATGGTGAATATGATTCTTGATGATAAATCAGCTGAGAAATTTAAAAATATACTTCTAAGTGATAAGACATTCTCTAAAACACATTTGTGGTTCTATAGAACATACAGAATAGAATTAATAATTATTAGGCCGATGTGAGCAGACATAGATTATGTGACTCTACTTAACAAGAGCACTAATATACTTTCAGTTTACACCAAATGTATATGACAAGACAATTTTTATAAAGGATTTATTGTGTTGTTTAAATTTAACCTAACCCGTAACTGGTTTAAGTAACCTGATAAAATTAGAAAAATATATTATTTGGAAAACATAAATTAAACTGGTAAATTGTAACAGAATTGCAAGTGATTCAGAAGTAAATATGACCAGGAAGCATAACAAAGTAATTTAAAATATTATTAGAAATTACCATCTACTTTACTATTTGGAATTACTGTTTCACACATTGTAAAGATTTGGCATCTTAAGGATTCTACTGAGTCTCTACTGAATCTCTTGAAAACCAATCATAGTTGTTTGATTTCATTAAGAGAAAGCACTTTTTGATGTGCTTTGTTCAGAAATTCAAGGTGTGGCTGAGATTAGCTGTCACCCACCAAATCCTCCTCTCTCTGCCACAGGAATAGAGCTGTGGCAGGGGTCCTGGGGGCCCAGATGGACTATATTGTACCCAGGTGTGTCTCTGCAACTGTCTTCACCAATGGAATATAGGAAAATGGATTTGTGTGACATCTACATCTGAGACCTGGACTCATTTACTCTCTCTTCCTCTTCCTGTGAACTAGAACACAACCTGCCTAGGACCCATCCTTGGTCACACAGATGAGAACAACTTGCTCTGGGATGGTAGAGGAGTAAAATGTAAGGTACATGGTCCTTGAATGATCTCCTAGAACTGCTGTATCAACCTGCACCACCAACTCAGGACTTAATTTAAGCGAGAAATAAAAGTCTGTGTTCTGTAAACCACTGTATTGTTGGATCTTTGTTAGCCTTTCCATTGAATAATATGTGCATATGTTATATCATACTGGAGTAGTTGATTGCTATGAGGAAAATACTAATTAAGTTATATGAACTAAAAAACATTTTTCTGTTTAAAAGCAATCTCCTTTGGCTAACATTTTTGGAGATGATGTTTCAGTAACAAAATTGGCACATATAACTAGATTTTTTTGACATTTTTAATTAACTGAATTTGGATCTATAGGGAAAAAGTAAAAATATATTTCAAGATGTTGACGATATCCAACAGTTACAAAATATATTTTAAGTAATCACTGTGGTTACTATACGTCCTCAACATTTTGCAACACAGGAAGAAAACATTATTAATGAAAACATTTTGAATGGAATAAAATGAAAGATACTAATAATATTGCGAGTATTTGTTTGAAACTTCAAACATTTCCAAAAAAGAAATTTGAAATATCAAGGAAAAGCATTTAGATAAAAGATCCATTTGTTTTTTAAAATCCCGGATGCATATTTGAGTTAAAGTTGATGCCCAAAGAAGGAAACTAATTACTAATACTTTGTTATTCAAATATCTTGAAGAATGATTATAAATTTATCACCATTTTAGATTAAGATTAAAGAAGACTTCACTGAAATTTGCAATTTCTGTTGCTAAGTAGAGTATATTGTTATTAATAGCATCCACACCACTTATTTGTGTGTGAACCAGAGTTTTTAACCAACATAACTAAAAACAGTGGAAAGAAATAAGACTTCAAAGCACAAAGCACCTGTGTCACGCATGTAGCGTTGTGTTCATGTCTCCAACCTGGATTGAATTTCCGAATGGGTAAGTGTGCCTGCAACAATGCATAAAAATCATATTTAATAGTAATTCTATTTTATTTAACAGTAAGTATTGTTTTAGAAATAAAATTTTTGTTTCAGTTTTTTAATCTAGCTATACATGTACCTATGTGTATACTGGGTGGACTCAGGACATTTTTTGCTGTGAGTTGACATTTTTTAAAACAAAGGTCTTTTAACTATTCTACTCTTACTTTCCTTCACAGCCAACATCTTGAGTGGGTTATTTAGACATGTGTTTCTACCTGCTCTTAATCCACTGCAACCAGATTCTGCCCTCATTATTCTTCTGGGGCAGGCTTCCTGACTAAACTCTCACATCCATTTAATCCTTTTTTGTGTTTATCTTTGTCCTCTCTGTGGCCATTGACCTTGTTGCCCAGATACTACTTTTATTTCATTTTCCCACCAATTAAAAAAAATAATTTGCAATTGTAAAAGTAAAAATGTTCAAGGAAAAAGTAAACTCACCTATAACCCCATCAGAGATAAGCACTGTTAATAGTTTGTTTATTTTCCATTTATATATATGTACGTATTTTATAACATATGTACATCCATATCAAATATTTAATAAAATGGGGCTCATTTAGTGCAAAGAAGTACATGGCATTTTACAACCTTCTATTTCATTTAACTATACAGTAGAAACTGCTTGTCATGTCATTCAATATTCCTCTCCTGCATTAATCTTAAAGGCTATATACTTTGCTGCTTTATGGATACATACATCATAAATTATTCATCAATTTCTCTGTTGCTGGACATTTAGATAGTTTTCAATTTTTAAAGATAATTGAATGACACACTGAAATCCTTGTGGAAAAAAAAAACAAAACCTTTATCCACTTCCATAATCACTTGCTTAAGATGAATTTCTAAAAGTGGGATTTCTGGGTTGGAGCCATACCTCTGCTGTATACACATTCAGAATCCCTCCAGGAATGGGTACCAAGTTATCCTTCCATTAGCACCCATAACATGAGAGGACCTAATTGGCCAGCTCCTTACTAACACCAGGCAATAGTATTTTAAATTTCTTAGCCAATTTTATTAAAAAGAAAATCACCTTTTATTGAAAGATTTTGTGCTCTTTTGATTAGTAGTTGCTTGAACACTTTTCATAGGTTGTGTCATTTGTATTTATTCCTCTGTGAAATGACTTCATATTATTGCCTATTGTTTTAAAGTGTGCATCTGTTTTTTTTTTTAATACTTTGTAAAAGTTTTTTTAAAAAGCTATTGAATCATTTTATCTCTATTAGGATGCCAAATCCTAGGCATCAACAATTCACAATACTTGATGGTTTCAAATCCTCATTTCTATCTCGGAGCCCTGTCCTGAGTTCCTGCCCATAAACAAAACACCTTATGGTATCTCGTTACCATTTCAACCTAAACGTGTTCAAAACTGAACTCATATACCCCCTGGATTCCAAACCCTTCTCTTCCTCTCTTCTTTAACTTGGAGGTTGGGGCCACCATCCTCCCATTTTCCCAAACAAAAAACCTGGAAGTTATCCCATATGTTACTACCTCGATCAGTCAGTAAATCCTACTGCTTCGACACCTTAAATACCTCTTGCTATATTTTCCTCTGTTCCTTTCCATCTATCATCGGCTTAACTTATTTCTAGATTTTACTGCAGAATCTTCTTACTCTTTTGCCAGCTGCCAGTCTACTCCTCTGAAATTTAACTTCCTCACTACCACTACAGTTACATTTCTAAAGAACAACAAAAATCCTTTCTTGGTTCCCAACCACAGCTTGCACAACAGGAAAAAAAATGAGACTCCAAATAAGACTCCTGCTTTCCTCTCCTTTCTTCCTGCAGCAACCATCCTAGGGCTCCGAACCCGACTTGAAGTTCCTGAAACACAGGTGCTCTCCCAAGAGTAGAGGTCCTGCCTCACACTGCCTTCCCCATCCGGTCCCCCACGTCCGTGTCCGCCTCCCAAGTTCAGCCTGAAGGTTCTTCATTGCTGAAGCTTTCTCTGTTCACCTCTCCCACCCCTACCCAAGTCACTTAGCCCTTGTGCGCCACTCCCCCGCCCGCCCCCGCCTTTATTTTTCTTCAGAGGAAAACAATGAAGGTCAACAGAGGAATGGAAAGGGAAGAAAGAGAGATTTTTAAAAGGGGTTTTGGATGCAAGCGTGTGTTTCGAGTCCAGATCTTGTTGCTTTGGGAAGTATCTTAACCTGTGTATATTGAGGATGTTCATCACACACACACACACACACACACACACACACACACGTGAGATGGTGTGGAATAAATGGTTGGGCAGAATCACAGTCTATTCACAGGTAGCGCCCGAGCCTGGCACAGAGCGTGGAGCAGCGCCTGGACGGCGGGACGCAGCGGGCGCCACGCCACCCGGCGCCGGGAGCTCCGCGAGCCGGGGCCGGGCCGCCCCAACTCCGCCCGCTCCGGAT